TTTGTACACCAAGGATGCTGTACAAAATATAATTATAGGAGCCTTTTAGACCAAATGGAAAAATAGTTCTATCTATCAGACTGCAACAAGTATAAGTTAGCTTTAGCAGTCTATTTGACACAACTTGGAATTATCTGAGAAATTCCCAGTTAAGATATTGTCCCTATCAGATTGGTATGTGGCCACATGCTTGAATTATTGGTTTGATTAATGATTCGTATGGTATGACACACAGCATAGGTAGCTGGGACTGGGCTGTATGAGAAAGATAATTGAGCATGAGACACTGAAGAAGTTATCAAGCAGATTAGTAAAATGGTTTCTACTTTATTTCCTTCTGAAGATACTGCCCTGACTTTGCCCTTAGATAGATTGAGACCTGAAAGTATAAGTCAGATAAACACTTTTTCCCCTACATTGCTTCTGACAAGAGTGTTTTTATCACAGAGACCATAAGGCAAACTAGAACAACAATTAAATAAGAAATAAAAGGAACACAGCTTGAGCACCTTGGCAAAATCTTCAAAATCACAGGAATCAGTAAACATCTTCCATTAGTTACTGAATAGTAATGTTAATTTCTAATAAAGTATCACAGACAGAGAGTTGGGAATAAAAATTAGAAAGTATATATTTGTTATACTTTATCATAAAAACACACGAAACCCTACAATGAAATGATGGATAAAGTTGTTCCAGGCAAATGGAGCTAGAAAACAAGTGAGTGCTGCTAATCTAATCTGATAAAATAGACTTAAAACAAAATCTAGTGAGAAATAATAAATCGCACTTCCTATTGATTAAAGGAAGACTTCAAGGAGAGAACTAAACAATTTCAAACACAGGTGCACCCAGAAAACACTACTACATGAAAGGCCACAGGCTACCATCATGTGACATAGTAGTTTCACTTTTAACAATTAACCCATCGTTTCAATAGAAAGTAAACAAAATTAAATGACATCACAAGTAAAAATGGCCCTAAACAACATCTACAGATTATTGTCTCCAAACACTGTAGAATACACATTGTTCCCAGCAGCTCATGGAACATTCTCTAAAATAGATCATATGTTAGGAAACAGAAAGTATCTTAACAAATATGGGGAAACTGAAATAATTCTTCATATTCTACCTGACAAGAATAAAATGACTATACATAAATGACATGAGAAACTCTAGAGGGTAAATAAACTCATGGACATTAAATACCTCACAACATAATTGTGAATGTGTCTTTGAAGAAATCAAGAGTAAAAAGATTCTTACAATAAAATGGAAATCAAAACACAACACACTTTCATCTGTGAGATGCAATGTAAACAGACCTAAGAGAGATGTTTAAAGGTCAATGTACCTACATTAAGAAATCAGTTAGATATCTAATAAATTAGTTAATTATTCACCTTAGGACTCTCTGGAAAAAGAACAAGTCAAATGTCAAAATCAGTAGCTGTAAAGTAAGCACAGACATTAATGAAATACATAATTTGAAAACAGTCCAACAGCAAAAAAAATCAGAGAGTCAATAGAACAGGTGTGATTACTTCAAAATGTAAACAATTTTGACAAACCTTAAATAAACTAACCAAAGGGAAGAACAATTACCAAAACTAACACAATAAGACTTGAAAATGAAGCATTGTAACAATCACCAGTGAAATTAAGAAAATTATTAAAGTTTACGTTAAGAAATTCCACCAAACTGGGAAATCTAAAACATATGGATAAATTTCTATATAGATAAAAAATACTAAAATTAAACTAAGATTACATTTAAAAAATAAACAGGTATATGGTGGGAGAAGGCTCAGCAGTTAAAAGCATTTACTGTTCTTCTACAGGACCAGGATTCAGTTTTCAGTATCTACATGATAGTTGCCAGTGTACTCTTTCAGTCTCTGTGGGCATCAGACACATACGCAACAAAGACAAATACATGCAAGCAAAACACTTCTACATGAAAAATAAAATGAATCTTAAAATTAATCAGGCCTAACCCTGCCCCTTGTCTGCCACCTCTGGATTAGGAGAAGGCACAACAAAGACCAGAACTGAACAACTCAGCTACCACTGAGGTCCAGATCCAGGGCCTTGAGAGGTTTACCTCAATATATACACTGTCAGTAAGCTTCTGGAGAAGGTGGAAAGGACAAGCCCTGTGGAACCATAGCCACAGGGTTAACATAAGTCTGAGCAATAATAGAATATTCAAGATATCCAATAATATCCTCATCCAAGTCTAGATGAGGGACCAGTATTGATGGTAGATCAGAAGCCAGAGACCCTAAACGTGAACATAGCTCATTGAAATGAATATTTATAAGTAAAGCTGTTTGGGCAAAAGGGTAAACTTCATGACATATATTAGCTCCCGATGCTGTTATGATGAACAAATACGTTATGGAAAGGTGGGAATGATGGAGTAGCAAAGTAGTACAAGTATGCTGGAACTGGAGACATGGTAGTTGTGATGGGTATGAGGGAGGACTGACTTTGATAGAGGAGCAGGTCATTGCCCAGAGGGATGAGTGAAATAGTTTGATTTTTTGTTTGCTTTTCCTTTGTTTTTAAAATAAGTCTATTTATCTTTCTTTTACATTGCAGCTTTAGTTTTTCCTCACTGATTTCCTCCCATCCCTCACCCTCATACCTCCTCTAGTATCATTCCAAGAATTCCTCTTCAATTTCTGTTTAGTAAAGGGAGGGTCTCCCATGAATATCAACAAAACATTGCATATCAAGTTGTAGTAAGACTATGCATCTCCCCATGTATTAAAGATGGACAAGGTGACCCAGTACAAGGAGTAGAGTCCCCAAAACCAGTAAAAAAATGTCAGAGACATTCCATAAGAAGTTAGCAGTTAGCAGTTCCATAAGAGAGTCACTCTACACAACTGTAACACATATGAAGAGGGTCTATGTCAATCCCCTGTAGGCACCCTGGTTTTCAGTTCAGTGTCTGTGAGCCCCTATGAGACCAGGATGATTCTGTGAGTTTTCTTCTGATGTCCTTGACCCTTCTGGCACCTACAATCCTTTCTCATCATTTTCTGCAGGATTCCCTGAACTCCACCTAATGTTTGGCTATGGGTCTGCATCTGTTCCCATTAGTTACTTGGTGATGCCACTCTGATTACTGTCGGGCTAGGAACCAGTCTGGTCATAGGAGATTGCCAGTTTAGTCAACATATATGATATTGCTAGGAGTCTAAGCTGGACTCTCCCTTATAGATTCCTGGAAGATTCTCTTGTGCAAGATTTTAACATAACCCAGAAATGTTCCACCTTTTCAGTACTTTCCCCAGTGTTCAAAGCAGCATTTTTCATGGATGTCCAAAACCAGGAAACAATCTAGGGGCCCCTCAACCAATGAATGGATAAAGAACATTTGGTACATTTACTCAATGGAATGTTACTCACCTCTTAAAAACAATGGCATCAGGAAATTTGAAAGAAAATGAATGGAATTTAAAAAATCATCCTGAATGAAGAAACACAGACTCGGAAAGGCAAAGATGGTATGTATGTACTCATAAGTGAATATTATCTGTAATGTGAAGGATAACCATGCAACAATCAACAGCCCTAGAGAGGCAAGGTTGCAAAGATTGCAAAAAGGGATATGTCCATAAAACGGGGAAAATAGAAGAAATCTCCTGAGTTGACTGGATACTGGCATGGGTGGGAACATGATGGATTTTTACTGGGAGAATTATGGAATGGGAGAGTATTTGAAATACATCTTGATGGGGGTATTTTAGGTTAGATAGAAACCTACTGCTAGGGAAACTCATATGTTTCTACAAGGATGTTTAAATCAAGGACTAGCAACAGTGGATAGATACCCTGAACTGGCCATCTCTTGTAATCAGGATGCTAACAGCCCACCTTGTCATTAGAAAGTCATCATCCAGTGATGGATAGAAACAGATGCAGAGACCTACAGCAAAGCACTGGGCTTAACTGTGGGAATCCAGCTGAAGAGAGAGAGTTGGATTGGATGAGTCAGGTGGGTCAAGATTATCACAAGGAAATCCACAGAAATGACTTACATGGGCTTATAGAAGGCCACAGGCTCTGGACTGACAGAGAGACTGCATGGAACTGACCTAGGGCCACTATATGTTTGACGCTATGTAGCTTGATTTACTTGGATTCCTAGCTGTAGAAGTTGGGCCTGTTCTTATTGCTTTGACTGACATTTAGGAACCTATTACTCATAGTAGGTTGCCTTGCTCAGTCTTAATATAAGGTGAGAATTTAGTCCTATCTCAACATGATATGTCATTCTATGTTGACACCCATGCTGAGACCTGTCACTTTCTGAACAGAGGAGAAGTGCATTGGGAGGTAGAGTACAGGGATAGGTAGGAAGAGGGAATGGGATGAGAAGAGAGAGGGGAAACTGAGGTCATGATATAAAGTAAATGAGCAAATTAAAAAAGAATTTATTTCCTCTCAAATCCCACACTCAATGATGTATTACTTCCTGGAAGGTTGTGCCTCATAAACTTGAAACTGCCATCAACTGGAAAACAAGTGTTCAAATGCCATTATATACGTGAGTCATTTCTGTTTCATTCACCACATAAGATAATACCTGCCTTATTACTGGAAAGACCAGACTCTCCAAATCATGCCAGAATGGTGTTTCATGGGACAAGCTGTGCCTGTACCCTGTTATGCAGTGATGTGTGAGAACAGAAAGTCTACACCATCACTTTTAAGATGGTTATGAGTCTGGGAGCCACAGATTGTTTATGTTTTGAGGGACAAGATGGAGCCAACTGAAGATTACAAAATATACTAAAGGCTGGGGATGTAGACAAGTTAGATAACATGCATGACATTGTGGTTTTGAGTTCCAGTATTTAACAAACAGAACATGATAGTAGGTGCTCAGGCCTAGAACTCAAGTGGTGAATGCAGGAGGAGCAGAACTTCAAGGTCACCCCTGACATCTTGTCTTTAAAAATGTCTTTGAACCCTGGGCTTTAAGAAGAGCTAATACCTTCACGAATTTGCGTGTCATCCTTCCACAGGGGCCATGCTAATCTTCTTTGTATCGTTCCAATTTTTAGTATATGTGCTGCCTATAGCCAGAACCTGGAAACAACCTTGGTGCCCCTCAATAGAAGAATGGTTAAAAAAGGTGTGGAATATATACACTTTAGAGTATTACTCAGCAGTGAAAAACAATGACATCTTAAATTTTGCATGCAAATGGATGGAAATAGAAAACGCTTTACTGAGTGAGGTAACACAGACCCAAAAAGAGGAATATGGTATGTACTCACTCATAAGTGGATTCTAGCCTTAATTAAAGGTCTTTGAGCCTATTGTTCGTGATCCTAGAGAAGCTAAATAAGAAGGTGAGCCCAAAGAAAATCATATAGTTATCCTCCTGGATATTGGAAGTAGACAAGATTGCCAGGTAAAAGTTGTGTGCACGGGGGTAGGGGTAGGGTGGGTGTAAGGAAAGATGGGTAAAGAGAAGGGAGAAGGGGAGGATTGGGGAGAGCTTGGGGGAATTGGATGGGTGGGATGGAGGAAGGGTGAATTTGGGAGCAGGGAAGTAAATATCTTAATTAAGGGAGCCATTTTAGGGTTTGCAAGACACTTGACTCTAGAGGGGTTCCCAGTTCCAAGGAGATGTCCCCAGCTTGTTCCTTGGGCAACAGAGGATGGGTGACTGAACTGGCTTTGTCCCATAGCCACACTGATCAATATCTTGCATATCACCATAGAACCTTCATCTGGCAATGGATGGATATAGAGACAGAGACCCATATTGGAGCACTGGACTGAGCTCCCAAGGTCCAAATGAGGAGCAGAAGGAGGGAGAACATGAGCTAGGAACTCAGGACCGTGAGAGGCGCATCCACCCACTGAGATGGTGGGACTGATCTAATGGGTGTTCACCAAGGCCAGCTGGACTGGGAGTGATGGAGCATGTGATCAAACCCGACTCTCTGAATGTCTCTGTCAATGAAGGCTGACTGAGAAGCCAAGGACAATGGCACTGGGTTTTTATTCTTCTGCATGGAATGGCTTTGTGGGAGCCTGGTTTGTTTGGATGCTCACCTTCATAGACCTGGACGGAGAGGGGAGGACCTTGGACTTCCCACAGGGCAGGGAACACTGACTGCTCTTAGGACTGGAGAGAGAGGAGGAGGTGGGGAGGGGGAGGGAAAAGGGAGGTGGGGAGGAAGTGGAAATTTTTAATAAATAAATAAATAATAATAAAAAGTGAAAACACTGCACATGCAAAAAAAAAGAAGAGCTAATACCTATACTCCTCAATGTGTTCCACATAATAGAAAGAGAAGAGTCATTGCCAAACATGTTTTATAAAGCTACAGTTACCCTGATACAAAAACTGCACAAAGACTCAACCAAGAAAGAGAATTACAGACCAATCTCACTCATGAACATCGGTGCAAAAGTTCTTAATAAAATACTGGCAAACCGACTCCAAGTACACATCAAAAAAAATCATCCATTATGATCAAGTAGGCTTCATCCCAGAGATGCAGAGCTGGTACAACATATGAAAATCCATCAATATAATCCATCATAAAAATAAACTGAAAGAAAAAAACCATATGATCATTTCATTAGATGCCAAAAAAGCATTTGACAAAATTCAACACTCCTTCATGATAAAGGTATTGGAGAGATTAGGGATACTAGGATCATATCAAAATATAATAAAAGTAATATACAGCAAGCCGACAGCTAACATCAAGTTAAATGGAGAGAAACTCAAAGCAATTCCATTAAAATCAGGAACAAGACAAGGCTATCCACTCTCTCTACATTTCTTCAACATAGTCCTTGAAGTTCTAGCAAGAGCAATAAGACAACATAAGAAGATCAAGGGGATTCAAATTGGAAAGAAAGAAGTAAAACTTTTGGTATTTGCAGATGATATGATAGTGACCCCAAAAACTCTACCAGAGAACTCCTACAGCTGATAAATACCTTCAGTGATGTGGCAGGATACAAGATCAACTCAAAAACATCAATAGTCCTCCTATACACAAAGGATAAAGAAGCTGAGAGGGAAAGCAGAGAAACATCACTTTTCATAATAGCCACAAATAGCATAAAGTATCTTGGGGTAACCCTAACCAAGGAAGTGAAAGACCTATTGGACAAGAATTTTATGTCTTAGAAGAAAGAAATTGAAAAAGACACCAGAAAATGGAAAGATCTCCCAGGCTCTTGGATAGGAAGGATCAACATAGTAAAAATGGCAATTTTACCAAAGGCAATCTGTAGAGTCAATGCAGTCCCCATCAAAATCCCAACAAGATTCTTCACAGACATTGAGAGAAAAATAATCAACTTTATATGGAAAAAAACAAAAAACCCAGGATAGCCAAAACAATCCTATACAATAAAAGTACTTCTGGAGGCATTACTATCCCTGACATCAAGCTCTGTTACAGAGCTACAGTAATGAAAACAGCCTGGTATTGGCATAAAAACAATTGATTTTGTTGACCAATGGGATAGAATTGAAAACCTGGATATTAATCCGCATACCTATGAACACCAGATCTTTGACAAAGAAGCTAAAATTATACAATGGAAGAAAGAAAGCACCTGCAACAAATGGTGTTTGCATAACTGGATGTCAACCTGTCGAAGAATGTAAATAGATCCATATCTATGATAATACTCAAAGCTCAAGTCCAAACAGACTAAAGACCTCAATAAAAATCTGATCACACTGAACCTGATAGAGGAGAAATTGGGAAGGAGCTTTCAATACATGGGCACAGAAAACCACTTCCTAAGTATAACCCTAGTAGCAAAGAAAATAAGAACAACAATAAATAAATGGGCCCTGCTGAGTCTGAGAAGCTTCTGTACAGCAAAGAAAACAGTCAATAAGACAAAAAGGCAACTTACTGAATGGGAGAAGATCTTCACCAACCCCACATCAGACAAAGGACTGAGCTCCAAAATATATAAAGAATTCAGAATATTAGATATTAAAATTTTAAATAACCCAATTAAAAAGGGGTACTGAACTAAACAGAGAATTCTCAACAGAATATTTTCAAATGGTCCAATAATACTTAAGGTTCAACTCCTTAGCAATCAGGGAAATGCAAATCAAAACAACTCCTAGATTCCATCTTACACCTGCCAGAATGGCTAAAATAAAAAAACACCAATGATAGCTTATGCTGGAGAGGATGTGGAGTAAGGAGGACACTCATGTATGCAAACTTGTACAACCACTTTGGAAATCAGTGTGGTGGTTTCTCAGAAAATTGGGAGTCAACCTACCTCAAGATCCAGCAATATCACTCTTGGGAATATATCCAAAAGTTGTTCAATCCTACTACAAAATCATTTGTTCAACTGTGTTTATACCAACACTATTTGCAGTCAGAAACTGGAAACAACCTAGATGTCCCTCAATGGAAGAACAGATAAAGAAAGTGTTGCAATCTACACATTAGAGTACTACATAGTGGTTAAAAAAAAACCACACATCTTGAATTTTGTATGCAAATGGATGCAATTAGAAAACACTATCCTGAGTGAGATAACCCAGAACCAAAAATATGAATATGGTATGTACTCACTCACTAGTGGCTACTAGCCATAAACAAAAGACATTGAGCCTATAGTTCATGATCCTAGAGAAGCTAAGTAATAAGGTGAACCCAAAGAAAAACATATATAGATCCACCTGGAAATTGGAAGCAGACAATATTGCCTGACAAAATTTGGAGGCATGAGGGCAGGGAGTAGAAGAAGGGGAAGAAGGGGAAGAGGAGGAAAGAAGTGGAGTGTTGGGGAGAGCTTGAGGGAATGGGATAGTTGAGATGGAGTAAGGACAGATATGAGAGCAAGAAAAGAGATATCTTGATTGAGGGAGCCATTTTGGTGTTAGCAAGAAACCTGGCTCTAGAAAAATTCCTGGAAATCCACAAGAATGATCCCAGCTAAGACCCTAAGCAATAGAGAGTGTGTCTTAACTGGCCTTGCCCTGTAGTCAGACTGATTATTATCTTAAACATCACCATAGAACCTTTGTCCAACAACAGATAGAAACAGAGACAGAGACTGGCATCAGAGCACTAGACTGAGCACCCAAGGTCCAGTTGAAGAGCGGAAGGAGGAAGAATATGAGCAAGGAAGTCAAGACCATGAGGGGTTCACCCACCAAAACAATTAGTTGGTGAACTAATGGTAGCTCACCAACTCCAACTGAACTGGGAATAAATGAGCATGGGATCAACCTAGTCCCTCTGAATGTGGTTGATAGTTGTGGCAGACTGAGGGGCCAATGACAATGTCACTGGGATTTGTCTCTACTGCATGTACTAGCTTTTTGGGATCTTTTTCTCTTTGGATGTATACCACACTCAACCTGAATGTAGTGGACCTTCCAAAGGTCAGGGTGCCTTGCCCTCTCTTAATATTGGAGGGGGTGGGGGAGAATGTTTGGAGGACTAGAAGGGAAGTGGGAGGAGGGGAGGAAGTGGAAATTTGGATTGGTATTTTTTTTAAGTAATAAAATGAAATAAATGCCTTTGAGCCTCTAGCAACTCCTATATTTAATAGGACACTCACCATTTCCTTTGAGGAACCACTCAAAATAATTCATCAGAGACTCCGGATTCTTAACAAGGTTTGTCTTATGAAAGAAAAAATAACCAGACACAAGAACATCTCTGGGATTTCTGATAACATAGATCATCTGAAATGGAAAAACATGTTTATGAGGGTCAATATAGTCATTCTTCACTTTTACCTGGTACAATTTATATGAAATGTCAATCAAATATCGTGAAGTTTCTAAAAACATTTAATAATTTTATTTGGAAAAACCATACTTAAGTACAATATAGTCAAAATCCTCTTTCATGCTTTAATTTGATTTACAAATATGTAGCAGCAAAATGACCGAGGTCACTAATACTATAAAAAATAAAAACAATAATAAAAATTCAACACTGATTCTCTAGTTGTAAAAAAAAATCTTACAGTGTGAAAGATTATTCATCCAATGTGAAAGAGCATCTTATCTACACAGAATATTGAGTACTGTGCTTAATCAAAATGCGATATGACAAACTTTTGGGTTTTGTAACAATAACTACCCAATATAACCCTCAAAACAATCATGGTGCAGAGCTTAAAGCCAATGTGCCATCACACAATGGTGAGAACAAGACCTACAGGAAACTAAGAAATGAAGAGAGCAGAAAACAATTTCCTTTGGGAAAAGCATAACTATTGGTCTCATAATGCTGAATGCTCATCCCAGAAAACATACAGACAAGGAACATTGCACAGACAGAGCTGATTGTACTTAAGTATTTATAAATATGTAGATATGTATAAATATACATATATAATAACAATCAATGAAAAAGAGACCATAAATCTGAAAAAGGAGGGCTATATAAATGAGTGTGGAGGAAGGGGATGGGGGAGTGTTATATATAATTAAATTGTAATCTCAAAAATAAAAGAAATAAATTAAAAGTAAATAAATTTAATAAAAGGATACTTATATTTTAAACCAATGCCTTTCTGACATTATTCTAGAATTTATCTCTTTATGCCTCAATTTCTCCAGTCAAGAGTTTGCCAAATTCAAATAAGACACAAACACAAATTTTTGAATGGTCATAACTCAATTGTGACATTTTCAAGAGAGATAGTTCTTCTAAGAGTGTCTTTGCAGTTTAAGCATAAAATAACACTAAGTTCTGTGGTGGAGGGACTTCCAGTAACATTCTTACTAACAAGAAGCTATGAATATTTCTGATCCTTTCTGTAGTTCCATGGGTGATTCCTGTGGTTGCTGATCTCAATGGACAGCTAGACCCAGCAAGACAGAGTGGATACAGATGAGCCATACTATTGAACATCTACATGTTTAGATGCCTGTTCAAGCTGTCTTACCTATGAGGTAGTTTGTGTTGGGTGTATGGGGTATTTATAAAATCAAGATTACCTAATTAATTAATTAATTGCTTTGGTGACCGCAAGAGTAATATCTATTGTACACTATAATTTTGACTTTATTTGACCTGTATATGTAGTTCCTTGATGCTCTAATGTGTTGTTCCACTTTCTGCCATACATCTGCCAGGATCACTGTGTGGTGATTGACATCATGGTACTTTGATTTAGTCTGAGGAGGGAACACATCAATATCAGCTAGTGCATGAGAATTCCAGATTTCCTACTTCAACCTACAAAATCAGAGTCCATTTAAACAAGAGCCCCAGGGTCTGTCAGGGTAGAATAAGTTCAATGAGCATTTGATCAAGGATTTCTCAATCACTGGATACTGACCTTGGCCTTGGAACTGAAGAAAGACTTGGGGAAAAGATGGAAGGGAAGATGAGAGCTGATGAGGCGTGGTCCTTCCTTATTGATTAAAGTTTGATATCCGTCTTCAGACTCTACCCAGGGTGAGCGTTCCCAGACAGGCTCAGATTGAATCCACTTGGGATTCCCCTTGGTCTGAATCAAGCAGACAATCTCAATCAGCCAGTTAGTTCCTGAACAAGAAGAAAAATTGGTGGTCAGTAATTTCAACATTATTTGTTAAAAAGCTTCAAGTAGAATATACAATCACACTATTTACTGTGAAGCTGTTTCCAAGTACACAGACCTGTGGTGTTCACAATGTCTACATGGTGTTAGCACAAAGTATCTTGATCTAGTACACCCCAATGTTTCACTTGGAAAAACTGAGATTATACTCAGTATCCTTCACCTGCCTCCTGAACATCCCCAGCAGTCCTGGGCCATCATCAGTCTACATTTTGGTGCAGTGAATTTGAATATCCCAGATATTGCACAGGGATGGAGTTATAAAATCTGTTCTAGCTAGCTAGAAAAAAATCTAGACAAGCTCCCTTCTTTTAAGACAATGTCCTTGAGATGCTTCCATCCTGTAGCGTCTATGAGTACTGCTTGTCCTTAAGGTAAATAAATGCCCTCTTGTCTATTTAACACACACTCACTCTATCCATGTGTGCATGCTCATTTGTCAGTGGATAGTTATCAACTTTTCTTCCCTGGGCTGTTGTCTGAATCTTTATCCTGAATTCCACTGTCTTTCACTTTCCAAGTTATTTCACATTCCTTGTCAGCAACCTATTACTTTCCTAATGGTCAATGCTTCTTCCACCCAGCAAACATCTCTTCCCCAAAAGTCATTTTTGGTTCCTTGAGTTTGAGACTCTTTCTACAACTTGAACAAGAACCATGGTAATTCTCTACATGACATTTTACTCTAAACCACATACTCTTGTATCCATGCCTTTTTCCTCTTGATGTTATTTCTTTTCCTTATTCTCATCATTCTCCCTCTTTCACTCACTCTTCCACACAGAGACACAACAATGCCAGAGTCTGCCTTAGAATCCATTGACATTGCTCTCTTTTTTTCTTTCTTTTTTTTTAAAAAAATACCAACCCAAATTCCCACTCCCTCCACTCCTACCATATCCTCCACACATCCTCTCACCCCATTCCCAACTAATCCTAAGAGAGGGTAAGGCAGCATTGCTCTCTTGCCTTAACTGATTTTTCAACCACACAAGGCAGTCTAGAAGTCTTTCTCTGAGTGTAAATGTGCTGACACACAGCTCTCCTTAGCCACAAAGCATTTTAAACATCTGATATATAGAACACTCCATTCATTCCCTAAATTAATGAGGATCAAAATCCCAACCTTCCTCATACAGTTCAAGATCATTCTCACTAACAGTCCTTACCTGATTTGGGGTAAGACAATATGACTGTGTCTTCATCTCTAACCACAAACTTATTGCCGATTTCTTCAAGTATTTCTTTTTCAAATCCTACTGCAGGGAAAGGTATTCCTTGAAACCAAAGATAGTCTGACATGGCAAAGAGTTCTTTGTGGGTGCTGTTAGGATTCTACCTTTAACCACCTGTACAGTTTCTAGCTAATCTTGAGAGCTAATATTTATAGTACAGCAAAAAGAAATCATTAACAGCCCATAGTTCATTTCAAAACTAACTACTGAGATAAAGAAAGAGATATTGTAACAATAAGTCAAAGGTTGTTGTATTAAGCAATTGTGAACTCATTCAGAGATCACTCTCTGGTATTTCTGAGCCTGAGTTCATGGCTCCAAACTAGAAACTCAATAATAAGTGCTAGGACATAGAAATGGAACTTACTTATCATGCTTTCTAATTCAATTTAGCTCTCAGGGTGGTTTCAAATGTGCAAAATAATTACAGAGATAATACAAAATGTTGCAACATGCAATTTCTTTTTCTCTATTCAGAAACTCATATTTCCTTAGCTGCATATATGACTCCAACTCTCACCCTCTATCCATCCAACCATCTCTTTATTTCTTATATTTATGTGTTCTTTAATTTTCATTAATACAAGCATATAATCACATGTTCTTATAACATACTGAGTCCATTTATTTCTGTTTGTATGTGAATGTATTCTGAGTTGAGCACTTGGAAAGTTTTTTCAAAGGTCCCAGAAAACAGTAAAAGTAGCATAGTGTGTACAACTAAGAACAAAAGCTCCTGCTGCAAAAATATTTTGATTCTTGCATGTACTCTAGCCTAGAGAAACATGTGGAAATTGTATGAAAGTTTGAGTGATGGAGTACCAGACCCTGGTCTGTCTCTAGTCCCTCTCTCCTGCTGCTGAAATAGATATTCTCCGTTAGTCATCTGAACATTTATAATGTTCCACCATGGACATATCTACTGTGTTTGAGGCAGCTTGGGACAGTTGTGGATGGTGAATGAATGTGCATCTGAGTCTGTAGCAGTTTTCTTCTTCAATGGGGTAACAAAATGGATCCACATTAATGTCTCAACAGAGTATTAAGGACCTAGACGTTAGAGATACAAGTAAAACCCCCAGATTTTCTACCTGAAGCTTCCCTAGTCTTTTGGTGTCAAGTCCTACTCAATTTTCCTTCCTACCTCCTTCTTGGCATCAAGAGCTCCAGACGTGTGTGTCTGTGTGTGTCTGTGTCTGTGTGTGTGTGTGTGTGTGTGTGTGTGTGTGTGTGTGTGTAGGTAGGTAGGTATTGATGTAACTATGCTTTTTTCATTCAGTATCTTCACCCTATGTTCAATTCTGGGGAACTCAGGTCTTCCACCGTCTTTTTTTGTTTTGCAGACCTAGTTCAGGAACTAAGGCATAATTACAAACAAAAAAATTTCCAGAATATTCTGTAATGATTGCCTCACATAAGTGGAAGCTCTAAAACAGCTGCTGGGTCAATCTGTTCCTGTGGTCACTCTAGTGTCCCTTTCTCAGTCAGTGTAGAGTCCATGTCTCCAGGCACATTCTCTCTGGGCTCTATTCCCAAAGTGAACCACAGCCTGGAAACTTTTCTCTATGGTGACCAGAGCTGGGAAGGTGCCAGGTATTGTCTCCAGAGGAACCTGCCTGATTTTCAAGACCCATCTGCAGCTTCAGAGGCTGATTAACACAAAACAACTCTAGTTCCAACTGTCCCATGCTGTAACTGAAGATCCAACATTAGCTGAAGCTCCAGTTCCAACAGCTGCTCTAGCACCAGTTAACAAGGATGCTCGACATTCTGAACCATCTGCTGATGAGATCTAGAAACACACCTTTGAAACCTCAACCCTTCATAGGATTTGTAGACTTAGAGTTACTTTCTAGTTACTTTCTGACGTTACACAGCCCCTCTCACCCCTGGAACAAGAACCCTTGATTCTAGCTTAAAAAAAAAATCTTGATTGTCAGGAAGAGGTGACCATGTATTCAAGGTTCAGGACATTTTTGAATGTGTGGGGGTTGATAGTTGGGTGCTCCTATATCTTAAATACTACTGATCACATCCTTGTGTTGGTTTGTAAAACGATTCATCAGATCACTTGCACTTTAGATAGTTTTTACCTTATGACTTAATTGTGCCCTGACTGAGGTTTTATGTATTTTCTATGGGTGGGGCTTTCCTAGAGCTTCTGTCACTCCTCCCTTCCCCTTCCAGACAGTAGGTGTGACAAGCAGAAGTTGCCACTGCATGCATATCAGTTGTTTTCTGACATGAATTCCAACTCTATTTCAGCATGGATGGATGACCATTTTATTGAACTCTGTTTTTTTTTTCTCCCCTTAATGCTGGAATACTAGCTGCTGACTGTTGGGGAGGAATTAGTAGAGCTTCTGGGAGTTTTTTTTCCCCTAGCTCAATACGTTCTGTTTTTATGATCTATAAAATTATATATATAATTCTATATATAATAAAATATATAAAATAAAATATACTTTATATATACATATATATATATATATATATATATATATAGAGAGAGAGAGAGAGAGAGAGAGAGAGAGAGAGAGAAAGAGGAGAGAGGAGAACGAGCATTTCCAAATGTAGCTCAGGCTGGCCTCTGGTTCTCCATTTATTCCTCCTGCCTCCTGAGTGGTGAGATTCCAGGTGTGTGCTAAATGTATGAGTTATCATATCTTCACCAACCCCTCATCAGACAAAGGTCTGATCTCCAAAATATACAGAGAACTCAAGAAACTAGACACTAAAACTCTAATTAGCCCAATTAAAAAATGGGGTACTGATCTGAACAGAGAATTCACAACAGATGAACTTCGAATGGCCAAAAGACACTTAAGGTCATGCTCAGCCTCCTTAGCGATCAGGGAAATGCAAATCAAAACTGTGGAAATCAGTGTGGCAGTTTCTCGGGAAACTGGGAGTCAACCTACCTCAGGACCCAGCAATTCCACTCTTGGGAATATACCCAAGAGATGCCCTATCATACTACAAAAGCATTTGTTCAACTATGTTCATAGCTGCACTATTTGTAATAGCCAGAACCTGGAAACAACCTAGGTGCCCCTCAATAGAAGAATGGTTAAAGAAGGTGTGGAACATATACACATTAGAGTTTTACTCAGCGGTAAAAAACAATGACATCTTGAATTTTGCATGCAAATGGATGGAAATAGAAAACGCTTTACTGAGTGAGGTAACACAGACCCAAAAAGAGGAATATGGTATGTACTCACTCATAAGTGGATTCTAGCCTTAATTAAAGGTCTTTGAGCCTATTGTTCGTGATCCTAGAGAAGCTAAATAAGAAGGTGAACCTGAAGAAAATCATATAGTTATCCTCCTGGATATTGGAAGTAGACAAGATTGCCAGGCAAACTTGGGTGCACGGGGGGTGGAGGTGTGGAAGTAAGGGGAGAGGGCTAGAGAGAAGGGAGGATTGGGGATAGCTTAGGGGAATGGGATGGGGAGGGAGGAAGGATGGTTATGGGAGCAGGGAGGTATATATCTCAACTAAGGGAGCCATTTTAGGGTTTGCATGAGACTTGATCCTGGAAGGGTTCCCACGCCCAAGGAGAGGTCCCCAGATTGTTACCTGGGCAGCAGAGGAGAGGTTGCCTGAACTGGCCTTAGTCCATAACCATACTGAAGATTATTTTGCATATCACCATAGAACCTTCATCTGGCGATGGATGGAGATAGAGACAGAGACACACATTGGAACACTGGACTTAACTCCCTAGGTCCAAATGAGAAGCAGAGGGAGGGAGAACGTGAGCAAGAAAGGCAGGATCAGAGGGAACCCTCATTCGACGATGGATGGAGATAGAGACGGAGACCCACATTGGAGCACTGGACTGAGCCTCCAAGGTCCAAATGAGGAGCAGAAGGAGGGAGAACATGAAAAAGGATGTCAGGACCGCGAGGAGTGCGTTCACCCACTGATACACGGGGAATGATCTAATGAGAGCTCACCAAGGCCAGCTGGACTGGGACTGAATGAGCATGTGATCAAACCGGAGTCTCTGAATGTGGCTGACATGGGGGCTGACTGAGAAGCTATTGACAATGGCACTGGGTCTTGTTTCGTCTGCATGTACTGGCTTTTTGGGATCCTAGTCTGTTTGGATGCTCACCTTCCTAGACCTGGAGGGAGGGGGGAGAACCTTGAACTTCCCACAGGGCAGGAAACCCTGACTGCTCTTAGGATTGGAGAGGGAGGAGGAGAGGGAGTGGGGGGAATGGGAGGGTATTGGGAGGAAGGGAGAAAGTGGAAATTTTTATAAATAAATAAATAAGTAAATTAGAAAAAAAGAATGGAGTTTTAAAAAGCCATATAAAGATGAAAACTACACAGGGAATCTGGATATTATATATCATTGTGTTGTGTTCGAATTGTTTAACTGCTAAAAAAAGAAACAACAGCTTCCAAAAGACATTTAATTACAAATGCTGCTAGATCAATCCAACCTATATATTTTGAAAGTGTCTTGATTTCAAAATTTAAGTGAAAAGATATGTTACTTAAATATAAACCCAGTAACACAGACATTGAGAGAAATAATTTAAAATGGGACCTCCTGAAATTGAAAATTTTCTGTAAAGCAAAGGACATGGTCAACAAGACAAAAGAGCAACCTACAGTATGGGAAATGATCTTCATTAACCTCACATCTGACAGAGGACTGATCTCCAAAATATTCAAAGAAAACAAAAAATTGATCAACAAGAAAACAAATAATCAAAAAAATGGAGTACAGACCTAAACAGAGAACTCTCAACAGAGGAATCTAAAATGGCTGAAATACCCTTAAGGAAATGTTCAACATCCTTAGCCATCAGAGAAATGTAAATCAAAACAAATCTGATCTTGTAGCTGTAACAATGGCCAAGATAAAAAACACTGATGACAACTTATGCTAGAGAGGATATTGCATAAAGGGAACACTCCACCATTGCTGGTAGGAGTGCATACTGGTACAGTTGCTTTGGTTATCAGCATGACAATTTCTCAGAAAATTAGGAAACAACCTTCCTCAAAACCCAGCAATGCTACTCTTGGGTGTATACCCAAAGGATCCTCAATTGTGTCACAAGGACATGTTCTGAACTATGTTCATAGCAGCTTTGATTGTCATAGCCAGAA